ACATTGGGTGGGACCTTTGGGTTTTACGTTCTCTTTGATTTGGTTTTCATCCTGTATTGGCGGACTCTTCGTGTAATGAAGCACCAGTACGACACGCAGAGGATGCTTGAAGATGTGTTTTTAGGTTGAGGGTAAAAAAAGGCATTTCCTCTTCCCTGGTGCCGCACTCATCCTATTTGATCAAAAAGTTGTTGTTTTTGTGGATATTGAGACGGCAAGTTCAGATTCTGGTCAGGAAAACGAACTCAGTGTGACCTTAACATCATCAATATCTATGACTTTGTTCCCTGGATTAGTTGTTCACTGTTACTGTGGCTCACCGTTTTATCCAATCTAATAGGCATGAAAGCATTTGTTAACTTTTGCCCTTCATATGTTTCTGCAGCTGGATATGATTTAATCAGCTCCACAGTGAGGCTGACTGAAAGAATAATTTAATTATTCTTTTTCATAGCACACTTCTCAGTCAAAAATACATTGTACAGTATAGTCAGTACTTTCCTGTCTTCTGTCCCTATCTCTTATATCTCATATTTTCTGTTCTGATCTGTACAGCAGAGGGGCTAATGCAGTATATGTTGCCTGCACTATCCTTTTTATTAAAAAACAGTCTTGTTCATATCTGAATGTGTTTGAGGTTTTTCCCTGACTATGGTTGCCTGATATGTTTTTTTAAATAATATTTATATATGGAATGGATTTGTGGATTAGGTGTTCAAGCAAACAAATCAATTTGTGTGTGTGTGTGTGTGTTCTAGTTCACAGTTGAGCAAAACCACTGGAACACATACCTTTACTTGCTTACAGAAAGCGTTTAACATGGAACAAAACTGATCATTCATTGTTCAGGAAGCAGTTTGTTTCATGATGGCCCTGAAGGATAATTACTTTTTGATTAATTTCCATATCCAACTATCAGTATCTGGAAATTGTCTAAAAATCTAAATGTATATGAAAGACAAAACCAAGTGGATTGGTCAAACTATTGCTGTAACTGTTAACAGACAAACAATCAGATTGAGCTTTGACCTACACTACCAACACTTCAGGTGGATTCCGGTGCCTGTTGGATCGGGGAGAGGGGGCGTGGCACTGTACTTCCCACGACAACTTAGTTCTCTTCATCCTCCCCCCCCCCCCTCCCCCCTGCTCACTACCTTGACTGACTAATTTCTGCGGGAAGCACTGCATGTTACATATAACACACATATATATATATATATATAACATATATCTGTTGCCCAATGTGCAAACTGCCCAGAGTCCAAAGGTCCAAAGTCAGGCCTCCAGAAATAACAGTTTTATTGCACTCTTGGTTTTGGTATTTTAATCAGTTGCAAATTCAGGAAATGTGCATATCTAAAGTACAATATGAAAGAAGGTGGTACTGTATTATTAGCTGATCTTTCCGACCAGTCTCACAGAGAGGTCCTATCTTCAAATCTGTCTTTTATTTTGACATCTCAAATTAAGATTGTGCTCTCATGGTCCATATTCCGATTCAACTATCACAAACTATTTTACCCACAGGAAAACCTGGCAGCAGCTTGTGTTAGTGCAGCATAAAGGAGTTCTCTGGCTCATAACAGCAGAATTCAGTACATCTATAGAACCTGCAGTGAAGCTGAGAATAAAACGTTTAAAGACTTCTGGCTAGATGACAATCTGTGAAAGAGCTGAAAAGGCTGTTATAAAATAAATACAAATAATTACCACAGAACCCACACAACACCTAAAGATGTAGATTCTGCACTCTGCAACAACACACACCCATTTCAGATACTTCATTTCACTTTGATTGTTATTTAAGCTCCACAGGAACAGAAAAGCTTCCATATGTTTCTACCTGTTAGAGGACTGTTAATATTCAACACAGAAATAAATATAAAATATTACTTAACTCGTTAATACATTTTAGAAACTCATTATGATATCATCAATGACTACACCAACCTTTAGCTTTAGCTCAGGCTATAGCCACTGTTGAATGACAAGTTCAATTTTCACTTGATAAATAGCCCTATTGCTATGTACACTTAGCGGTCCTGTGCAACAAATGTGAGAACAAGTCCTACAGCAAACACTCAACCATTCACACACACACACACACATTACATTTTGCATTTACTGTGATTTGACTTAATTGGGTTCCAGCAAATTTGTATACCCCCCCCACGACCTTCAGACGATAAGCGAAATGGATTGAATTGAATTGAAATGAATCGATAACCAGATAAAATAGTCAAGGAGGTGAACACAAATTAAAACTCAGTTTTGACCAAATGTGTAGCAAATGGATTTTCGCTGACGGACAGGTGGGTCAATACAGTGTTAGCAATAATTCAGGCGTTATACTGAACCATTGTGGTGGTGAAGGAATTGATAATTTAACACATGATCTGGGAAGTGACTGACAGAACAAGGTTGTGAATAAAAGCAGTCAAAATGAGTAATCTCCGTCAGGTGGCTGGGTCCAGCCTCAGAGACAGGTTGAGGAGTTCAGACATCTGGGGGGAGTAGAACCGCTGTGCCTTCATGTCAGAAGAGGATAGCTGATAGTCCTCGACGGTTTATGTTGTGCATGCCCAGTAAACCTCCAACTGGGAGGAGCCCCGGAGTAGAGTAAGAATTGATGGTGTGATTAAATATCCAAGCTGGACTGGGAAAGCTTCAGGTTCCCCCAGTAAGAGCTGGAAAGGGACGTCTGAAATGCCCTATTCCAATGGATGGATAGACAGATTTGGTTTTTGTAGTCCCTGATCTCTGGGCAAATACTGACACTGCTTTAGTTTGCTGGTCTTCATTGGAACATGGAAGTGACGTGCTACATAAACAATGCACAGAGAGTGGTACACAGCAGGCAGTTCAGGACCAGCAGAACTTTGCCTTGTGGCCAAACAGAAGGTCAACAGTGCTTTTCTTGCTGTAACTGTATTTCTGTGTTACCAGATCTAAGCAATTTCTAGCAGTTTCCATCTTCAAACACTGGAAAAGGCACTCAGCATATCATTATAACACTGTTATGTTCACTGATTGCATTGCATTGCATACAAACCTACTTTAGTGCAGTTATATTAAGCTCCGGCTGAGTCGAGGCTTGGCGATGGATGCGTTACATGCAGTAGGTGAACCTTGAAACAAGTTAATTAGAGCTCTAAATATGTACAGCCTGACTCTAATTACAATCTGAGCAGTGACAAATTAGCCTTTGCTCCACCAACAAACGTGTTAACTCTTTACGATCCAACAACACACGTTGGCTGGTTTTCAGATGCACCCGGATCCTCTGACACTGAGGAAAGGCAAAGAAATGAATCAGGACTTACACTGCAAACCGGATCCACACACGCACGCACACACACAACGTCCAGCTCTCCCTGCAGACCTCACCTCCCACACATATTACTTTGGCAGTGATGGAACAACAGCATTTCTCCCAAGAGAGAGGCCCAATGCAAGGGAAGAAGTAGCTAGAGAGACAAGGAGGCGTGAGACTCTCAGATTAAAACACTAAATATACCGGAGATGTACAAGACATTTTGTTCTATGTTTCTGTCTGTCTATTACGCCTGCCTGCCGCCCTCATTTCAACAAGCTTTATTGTCTTCAAACTTCAACAGCATCGCCACGGACACAAAAGACCAGCGTTCTCCCTGAAGAGCAGAAGACATAAACCTGCCAAAGCTCAGTCTACACACATTTTCAGATTTTTCTAATCAAAACACACAATATACACAGTATCATAGTGCTTGGAGAAGTGCGTGTGTGACTGACCGTCCATTTCACATTCATCTTCTCTAAATTAGCATTTGTATAAAATAAATGTTTGAATCTGTACACATCAAAATGCATAGGGATGTCAGCTTTAATAAGATCAATTGTGTGAGAGAGACTGTCACTGTGTAATCCCCAGGCCGTGGCAAGTTAATACACACAGGGGAATTAAACCTGACATGGATTTCTGTTCCTGTCTCATAACATTTCAGATTCTTCAGGGAAAGAGAGGCTTTAAGAGTTAAAGTAGAGTCGATATCTCCGGTTTATTTGTACATGACAAGTTAATTCAAGTTGAATTCCAACTTAAATTTATCTTATTCACATTATCCATATTTACCAGGTATACAAGCATTGCTGGTTGGGGATCACTGCTGCAGTTTGTTTGTATTCCGCTTTGTCAGTTTCAAGCCGTCCTCCCACACAAAGTCCCTCCACTCTTTATCTCACCTACAGTAAGAATGACCAGGAGCACCACTTGTTGTTTGACTAAACTCTTACCACACTGTGTGAAGACACATCATTCTGTCAAGTATTGTTGAAAATGAAACCAGTGAGGTTTGAGATAATGCTGAAAGGCTTTACACACCAGATAAGGCGGACAAGCCAGTTATGTAATGTATGCACTGCTGCTGTTGCAGTTCCCCGAGACTGAGAAGATACAGTTGAGGTAAACTAAGCCTCCTTATACTCTTTATTTGAGCCACAAATTAATTTTCAGTTCCAAGGACATAGCTACATAGCTATGACCTTCACTTAAAGCTACATAGCTATGATCTTCACTTAAAGCTCCAGTGTAAAGGATTAAGTGGGATATATTAGCAGAAATTATTATATATATATACAGTATATATATATATAAGAATTATATTCATAATTTCCTTCATATATCTAAGAATGTTTCTGTTTCTGTTAAATTAGAATGAGCTCTATTATCTACATTGGGACAGGTCCTCTTCCATGTTGCGCAGCCTCACTTTTATGGTAGCCCAGAATAGAGAAACAAAACAGTATAGCTCCAGAAAGGGTCTTTCTATTAACAAAGCATAAAGGTCCTAGTAGGTTTTCCTACATGCTTGGAAAGGTTCAGTTGTTTGTCATATGCAACTTCAACACCAAAAGCCACTAAATACTACATAAGGTAAAAATAATTTTAGTTACATCTGTCCCCAAATAGTGAAGAACTCTGATTCCGAGTCAGATGTGACGTGTCATCAAGCTCTTACCTATGGCCATGAAGTCCTCGTGGTCCCAGGTCTGCAGCTGGGCTAAGGGGCCGCTGTACAGCAGCAGTCCATCAGCCACATCTGTGATGAACTCCAGCGACATGTGACTCTCGAAACAAGGCATCATGGGAGGGAACCAGGCATAGCCATTACCGTGGAAACTGTGTCTGTTCTGCTGGCACTCAGGCCCTTCAAACTGAGCTGGGCATTGGCACCTTGAGGAGAGGAGCAAAAAAAATTACATGAATAAGTAAATGCAATAAATAAAAGACATGTTTTTTATTTTTGACAATTTAATTTTCTCAACAAAATGGTCACTTTTGTTTGTTTCTAAAAATGTCAGAGAATCCTCTGTAAGTGGAAAACACAATTCTGATCGCAATCTTCCTCCTTGTTTTCAAACCACTTACTGAATTTAATTCTTTTAACATTGTCCTCACATCTCTCTCAGCCTTGTTGTTCTCTCCTCTCAGACAGCCATCTCTTTCAGCCTTCTCTCTCACACCATCTGTTTCACTGATGCAGACATTCTCATTAGTGGCAAAACCACAGGGAGAATCACTACATCACTGGGGAACTCCTCTCTCAGTGTCTCCACACATCCAAGAATTCATTTGTTCTTTCACTTCCTGTCAAAATTCTCCCTCACACCTTCTCTTGTCAACAAAGGCAAAATCCTACTGTTTTTTCAATCCTTGTCCATTTGTTCTACCATCTCTTTTTATACTGTAAGCATACTCATTCCTTTAGGTTTTGAAAAAAATAATATTTGATCCACATCTGATTTTAAACAAACAAAACAAGCAGAGGATGGATATTTCTTTTTGAACAAAGATAAAAAGAATACGTTTTGCAATGTATTAATTAAAGTACAGACTCGTGGCAAGAGCGTAGCTGATTGTACTGTCAGCAGAAACAAAGTTTACCTGCCCAGATTTGTCATAGACCCATAACTACTGAACTATTTTAAGCATGAATCAAAGGCACCTAGTGTTTTGTGAGGCTCTTGAGAATGTTTCACCTCAGATCCATAAGCCTGGGAAACTTCAAGCAAGACCAGTTAACCTCATATCACGCAGAGAATCCCCACAGGTAAAACAAAATACTACAGAGGAACATGGATTCTGGATCAGGAGGAAAGATCCCAACCGGGCCCAAAGATGTAAGGGACATACACCCAGGTCTGATCAGCCTGTGGTGGTTCTGCCTTAGAGGAGGGTGTCTTGTGATTAAAAGTCCTAAACACGTGCTGACGCTAAGGTACACAACTGAAGATACATGGCCCCGACAAGACTGGTGGTCGCTAACATCTGCTAACATAATAATTAGTGTCCAGTGTATGGAAACACATCTTGACACAGAACCATAGCACTACTGTAGATATTGAGAGACGTTCAATTTAAGTAGCTGAACTGAAAAGCAACTGCTCTATGCTGAGAGTGGCTGAGGTAATTATGAAGGGAGCAAGGGAGGTTCATTAACCATGACGACGGAGGTCCTCTAACCTTAAAAAAGCTCTTATTTTACACTAACCATGTAGCGTTTCGACACACCTCAAGCAAATGTTTACTGCTGTTACCATCACGCACAATATTGTGTTATGCATGCTGCTGATACACTTCAACAGCTCTCACTTTTTTTATATGATGACAAAGCCCTGGCCTGTTGGATGAGTCATAGGCAAAGGACTAGCAACCTGATTGAAAGGAACTTCTTGAAAGACTTTTTGACTGAAAACTTATTGTAAATAGTAAAAAGAAAACTGCAAAAATCCTGGTTGATTTGATGGAGCTCAAGGTCTATCCTTTATTCTGAATTACTTGAACAAAATAACACAGTGTTACAGCTTCTCTGTCTGAGGAACAGAACTCTGCTTATGTTTTGTAACTGTTCCTGCTGCCATGAATGGATAATTCATATAATATATATTATAATAATATTATTTACGGAATTACTACTGTTCGGAGTTTTGAGATGTAGCCTGTTGTTCCGGTTGCTGTGTGAGGGCTGCAAGTCCATAATCCTACAAACAGGTTAGGATGAGAGACTGAAGCTGAACTCATCAAGCAATGTTCAACAACTCACCAGAAAAGTATTTGGTGTTTTTGCAGAGGTGTGCAAGTGTTTTCATCAACTAAAGCTATGTAATTCACTTTTATGTTTAGCCTAAGTGTCCCCTTATATCTCATTCTGGAACCTCATTCATGTTTACAGTTGATTCCTGAAACTCCAAAAGTTTGGAGTGGATTCAAACACTTCCCCTACCCCTCCATCGGCTTGGTGGTGAGTTAGATAATGAGTGAATTTTTTATTTTTCGGTAAACTATCCTTGAGTAATTTCAGGATAATATACGTGAGGTTGTAAAATTAAAAAAAGTCATAGGTTTCCTAGTTTGTCAATAGATGAGTT